CTGATCAAAAATATATATACTTTGTTGGGTCTAAAATACCCTCCTTACTCCCTATGCCAAATAGAAACGTACGACCCAGAATTCCCTCCATTTGGGCTGATATTAGCCATTATTTGCACATGAAACCTGAAATCGAAAAATGGGAGCTATGTTCAAATCTTAGCCGATCTCGATAGAATTTGACAAAGGTATTTCCGAGCTCTATATGATACCTAGTACCAAATATCATTGTTGTCGTAGGCATATTACGAATGTGAGGGATTCAAATCGGATGAAACATATATATGGGAACTATAGCTATATCTGAACCGATGGTGTCCGTATTCGATATACTTGCTGAATTCGGTCGGATGTACCAAAATTCAGGTCATTTGGACTGATATTGGCCATTTGGTGCACAATTAACCCGAAATCGGACCTAAATCCAAATCTAAACCGATCTTGATAAAATTTGGCAGAGGTATTTCTGAGCTGTATCTGATAAGTGGTACCAAATATCATTGTTGTCGAATGCATATTACTAATGTGAGGGACATAAACACCAAATCGGATAAAACATATATATGGGAGCTATAGAAAAATTTGAACTAATTCTCATTATAGACTGAATTCGTAGACAATTAACCCGAAATCAGTTGAAGATATATATGGGAGCTATATTCAAATCTGAACCGATCTCAAAGCTGTATCTGATATCTGGTACCAAAGGTCATTGTTGTGGAATGCATACTACGCTAGTGAGGGACTGAAACCCCCCAAATAGGATGAAACATATATATGGGAGCTATAGCTATATCTGAATCGATTTTCTCCAAATTTGATATACTTGCTTCTACACCGAATTCGGTGGGATATGCCAACATACAGGTCATTTGGACTGATATTGGCCACTTGGTGCACAATTAACCCGAAATCGGTTGAAGATATATGTAGGAGCTATATCTAAATGTAAACCGATTCTCACCAATTTCCATAGGGTTCGTCCATGGGCCATACAAATATTGTTTGGAAAGTTTCATCTCAATCGGACAATAAATAAGACCTGCATTTTCTTCGCGGACGGACGGACGAACTGACATGCATAAATCGACTCAGAAAGTGATTCCATTGGGATCCTCAAAAGTAACTATGGGTCTATCTCGCTTCCTTCTCCATGTTACAAACAAATGCACAACGACATAATAACCTTACCACTATGTGGTGTAGGGTACATTTTTTTATGTTTGATAGGAAATTCGCAAATTTTTTGGATATTTCACTAAAATCGGAAAAATATAGAAGTGCGTGGTATAACTACATCGAGTGGATAGATCAGAGTTTTCCATCGGGTAGTAAAGAATCTGGATTACAAGAGGTTTTGGCCAAATGTTTGTCGCGATTTGAAAGCGAAGAAAAATATAACCAAGATCGACGCATGATCAAGCTCTACATTAAATATAGATAACCACAAAGATCCCGCCGAATGCTATCAGCAGTTATTTAATGCTGGCATTGGAACAATGGTTTCCGATTTGTATATTACATGGGCCTATTGTTATGATCGTGTCAATAACACACGTAAAGCTGATTGATACGAAATTCAGAAACATGTCGGATGTTTGATCCGAAATTCTGAAAATTGTCAGATGCTTGATCCGAAATTCAGATGATCAATCAACTGACTCAGATTTGATACGAAATACGGAAGATGATTGATCATCTGAAGTTCGGATCAAACATTTGAAAACTTGCAGAATTTCAGATCAAACATCCGACAGGATTCCGTATTTCGTATCAAAACGAAATTCGGAAACTTGTCGGATGTTTCATCCGAAATCTGCATTTTCATATATGTTATTTACAAAACTCACTTTCCCCATGTCAGACACCACTTCTTTAAATCCCTAAAATTTCTATTATTTGAAACACATATTACTCTCTTCTAGGTCATATGTCACATGCGGCACTGCACTTTTCAAAATAAAAAATTTCGAACAAAAAAAACAAAAACTGCATAATTTTCTTTTTTAAAAAACAACAAAAGCTTATTTGCATTTTCATTAAACGAAAGTCTAAATGTAAGTATGTATGTGTGTGTTTGTCATCGTCGGATGCTTTCACGAATAGATTTATATTTAAATTCAAACATTCATTGAATATTAATTAGTCATATTCGACACCGAAATGATTCACATCGGTATGGTTGTAATTCTCGTTTATAATTTGCTATTTATATGACCACCAATGTGTAATGGCCGTCTAGGTGGAGATGTGTCGGAGTTTGTGTGCGAAAGAGTTGATTAATTTATGTTTTTTGACCAAGAATATCTTTAGAGAACGTTAAATTTATAAAAATTTTCAAAATCCCTAATCCAGAGGATTTTTCAATTTTTTAATATTTGAAAAAAGATTCGTTAGTGCCAAAAAATAGCAATAAATATATAATAAATAAATATCTCTCTATATCTAAAAAGAGGAAAATGTTTGTATGTTTGTTTGTAATTTATAGACTCGAAAACCGCTGAACAGATTTTCCTTAAAATTTCCAGGTATACTGCAACATTGCTAAATAAATTTTTGAAACTCCACTTGGAACTGGAAATATGGCATCAGAATCGGAGGTACCTCCCAAAAATTTACATTTTATATGCACATATCTATTGATAGATTACAGATACAGGCTGCAAATTTGGACTGCATAACGGAATCTGAAAAAAAATTAATTTCCGAAATTATATTGAAATCGGTTTAGATTCGGATATAGCTCCCATATATATTTTCGGCCGATTTCATGTATTTGATGCATTACCACATTTCAATGAAATTTGGAATGTGTGGTGGAATTTCTCTAAAAGCAAAATTGTTTGCCAAATTATATTGAAATCGGTTCAGATTTGGATATAGTTCCCATATACATATTCGGCCGATTTGATGTATTTGATGAACCAAACACGATATGTAGGTTGGATTCCAAAGAATCCGTGATGGAATTCAATCGTGATAGTGTGATTTCTTTATATTTGGCTGGAAAGCCACAAGTGGCTATCGTTGGGGCACTCCAGCATTTAAATGTGAATAAAAACCGGAAGAAAACAGAAACATCAGCAGAAATGGTTCGAAAAGTAAAGAATCGACTTGATCGAAACTCGAATCCCGTCGCAGTTGCCGAAAAATGGCTCGTGAGCTGAACATATTGCAATATTCCATTCGGCAAATATTGAAAATGAGTTCGGGGTAAAACCATTGAAATTCCAAAAAGTGTAAGAACTTACACAGCAACCGAAAGAAAATAGACTCAGAAGAACTAAAGAGTTTCTTCGCTTGGCCGAAAGTGGTGAACTACCGTATTTGGTTTTCTCCGATGAGAAAACATTCGTTGTCCAGCAGTTTGTAAACAAACAAAATGATCGTGTTTACTCGCCAAAGAGGTCAGCTGAAAATGTGCACCTTCGATTGGCTACCAGAACTGAAGCGCCAGCAGTGGGTCCACGATATATTATATCCCCCACATAACTGTACCTCCAAACAATCGGTATTTTGATGATTTTAGTAACATTTTTCAATGGCATTATCTGAAATTCTAAGGGTTCTCTGTGATTACTTTACCCCCTGAAAGGGATTTGTCTATATAGATCCACGATATCGTATATCCTCCCACATAACAGTACTCCACCATATTCGGTATTTTGATGACTTTAGCCACATTTTTCGATCGAATAGTCTGAAAATTCAAGCAAGGAGTTCCCTATGAGCACTTTACCCCCTAGAATAGAATTGTTGAGAATTGTCTATATAGGTCTCTATAGGTCTACGTTTTAGTATAACACCCATATAACGCTACCCCGAGATATTCGGCATTTCCAGGATTTACGCGACATAATTCACCGCATTTGCTTCAAATTTCGTATTTGAAGTTCGTAATAGATACTACAATCTATAACGGAAAAATGTCTATGCAGGTCCACGTCTTAGTATAACCCCCATACAACAGTACCTCCCTTTATTCGGTATTTTGATTATATTAGCGACATTATTCGCTGAAATTGTTTCGAATTTGGATTTGAAGTTCGGAATCGTTACTACAGCCTATGAAAAAAAATTACTTATCCACCACCAAGTCTTCGTATAGCCCCCATATAAAGGTTTTCATTTAAGCAGTATTTTTCGACTGATTTTTTTTAATTTTTCTAGTTCCTTCCGAATGGTGGAGGGTATAAAAAATTGAATGAGAACATGGAATCGAAATTGCAATTTCTATACAATATTTAATTCTTTATGCCGGAAAAATATTTAAAATCGATTACAAAACAGCTGTTCCCACTGAATAATAATAACTGAGAAGATTTCTCCAGTGAGAAATTTTAAAATCTCAGTAACTTAAATACCAATATTGCTCTCTTCACTCACTCTCACGTAGCGGACTTTTTTCTCATCCAATAAGTTTTTGCAATATTTTGTACAAAATCTTACAATTTTTGGGTTTTCCGAACACACCCATTGTATATAGCACCTTTATTAGAAATTACCGAAATCGGCACTGATTTGAAATTAATTTCTCGCGAAGTTACACACGGAATGCCAAGCCATGCATACCTACCACACCAGGGTGGATGCTTCAAAAACTTGTTTTATTGATGACGTTATTGGTTGATAACAAAGATAAAAATCAAAACACCGGAGCAGAGATAACAACAAATTCCTTCGTCGTTAGGCCAACGTTTTCTTAACAAAACGAGAGTTTTTTCTCAATGATGTTTTTGTTGTTATTTTTTATTAATATTTTTGTTTTTTTTTTATTAATAATTATGTGTAAACTGCATTTGAAGAAAAAAAAAACTCAAAACGTAGGTGGGAGTTTTTTAGGCTCTCCAAAAAGACTAAACCTGTTTTAGGCTTTTTCGAAACAAACATTTAAATTTGGTCAACAGCTGGTGTTGAAATTCACGATGATCATCAATTTTAATTGGGAATACCTCTATGACTCCTACTGATCTTCCTCATTTATCTTCCATTTAACTTACCAATGCCACCTTGCCCGTAACCTCTTTCTCCTTGAGGCCCAGGCCGAACAGGTAATCCAATAAATGTTTCAGAAAGACGGCAAACAAAATCAATGGCAACAGCAAAGCGAACAACACCATCTTCAGGTTATAGATACCGCGAGTAACCTCGTCATTTTGTCGAGGTGATGCGGAGGCGGTTGATGGAGATGTTGTCATCGTGGTCGTTGTTGCCGAAGTGGTGCTGCGTACGGGCGGAGTCGTTGTGGCCGTTGTGGCTGAGTTGGCCACATCGTTGGATGAGCGGGTCATAATTGTCACCGTATGGTCAACCATGGTTTCACACAGGTCACTTAACTCGGTTTAGGAATAAAATATATTTTTTTAATTTATTTAATTTTTTATTTATTTTTTATTATTTATTTATTTTTTTATTTTTTTTATTTTTTTTTTTTTTGAATTCAATTTAAATATTTATCTTCAAATAATCTTTTATTTTTTCAAAATTTCACTTCTTGGCACAGATGCGCGCGCGTCTTGGCACTCGGTTCGTTTTTTATTTTACCAATTTTTTTTCCGCTTGCCCTTCCGTTGTTACTTCTTTTTTGCTCGCGCACTACTCAACCACTCTCAACGGCGATTTAAACGCGTTTGCCCGTCTCTCTGTTTATCGTGTTCGCCGCTGGCTGTTGTTATCGCCGCGTCGCGTCGTTGTCGTGAAATTGAATATTTTCAAGTTTCTTCCAGTGGCTGGTTTGTTTGTTTTGTTGCGGATCTTTTTGGTTTGACTCAAAACACAAAACTTTTAAAAACCACTCATACAGGTCGTCGTAGCAGCAGCTACTCAATAAGACCAACCGCACACACTCATTCGCTTGCATCTATCTTTGGAAGATGTTAACTCTTTGTAAACCTTGGGGGTAGCAGTACATCGGGGCGACAGTGGTTATTGTTCTATGGGTTATTTTAAACTCTAGTCGGCACAGTGGCACCGGGTAGTATGTCTCCGGGTATTAGTTTCTATGTATAACAAGTTAACAAGTAAAAAAGCTGTAAGTTCGGCAGGGCCGAACTTTGAATACCCTCCACCATTTGGTAAAAATTCAACAATTTTCAAAAAAATAAAATCCGTTAAAAATTCTGTTAAAATCTTATTAAATCTCTTAGCTATTACAATATTCAAATGCGAAACTTGAAAAAATCTGTTTATAATGTAGCTAAAATCATCAAAATACCGAATATAAGGAGGTACCATGGGGATTATAAAAAGTGGACCAGCACAGAAAATTTTCTGTCATAGGCTGTAGTATTCATTACGAACTTCAAATAAAAATTTGAAATAGTTCCGGTAAATAATGTCTCTAAAATCATCAGAATACCCAATATCGGGAGTTACCGTTATATGGGGGCTATACGTAGACGTGGACCTACATGGCTCATTTTGTATTGTCCAGTATTGCCCATATCATGTCGGAACTAACTAACTAATCTAATCTTATTCTAAAATTTGATGTTATTTCCGACATTTTTTGCTTTCATTCAATAAAATTAAAAAAAAAACGCAAAAAGCAGTTTGTTCGGCCGGGCCGAACTTTGAATTTTCCCCACCATTTGGAACAAATTTGAAAATTTTCAAAAAATAAAATCCGTTAAAAATTCTCTTAGAATCTTGAGCCATTATCCTATTCAAATTCGAAACTTGAAATATACGGTGAATAATGTAGCTAAAATCATCAAAATACCGTATATAGGGATGTACCATTTTATTGGAGCTATTCGAAGGCCTGGACCTGCATAGAAAATTTTCTGTCACAGACTATAGTTCCAATTACGAACTGTACATACGTAATTTGAAACTACTCCGGTGAATAATATCGCTAAAATCATCAAAATACCGAATATTGGGAGGTTCCGTTATATGGGGGCTACATGGGAACGTGGACCTGCACAGACAATTTTCTGTCATAGGCTGTAGTATCCATTACGAACTTCAAATACCAAATTTGAAAATACTCCGGTGAATAATATCGCTAAAATCATCAAAATACCGAATATTGGGAGGTTCCGTTATATGGGGGCTATACGAAGACGTGGACCTGCGCAGACAATTTTCTGTCATAGGCTGTAGTATATATTACGAACTTCAAATACCAAATTAGAAACAATTCCGGTGAATAATGTCGCTAAAATCGTCAAAATACCGAATATTGGGAGGTTCCGTTATATGGGGGCTATACGAAGACGTAGACCTGCCCACACAATTTTCTATGTTAGGCTTAAGTATTCATTTCGAACTTTAAATACCAAATTTGAAAAAATTCGGTGAATAATGTGGCTAAGATCATCAAAATACCGAATATAGTGAGGTACCATTATGTGGGGGCTATACGAAGACGTGGACCTGCACAGATAATTTTTTATCTTAGGCTTTAATATTCATTGCGAACTTTAAATACCAAATTTGAAACAATTCCGGTGAATAATGTCGCTTAAATCATCAAACTATCGAATATAGGGAGGTACCGTTATATGGGAGCTATATGAAAACGTAGACCTACATGGCCCATTTACGAACTTAACCTGCCTACTGGCAAAATAAACATGTGTACAAAATGTTAGCCTTCAATCTCAATTCATTCGAAAGATAGCGTGATTACAACAGGCAGACAGACGGACATCGCTAAATCGACTTAGAATTTTACGCTGATCAAGAATATATATACTTTGTTGGGTCTGACATGAGTATTTCGAGGAGTTATAGCATGGTGGAGGTTATACAATTTAAAAATTATGGCGTTTTTTTTAACTCACCCTCTAGCTATATGGCTGAGGGTATAATGAAGTTCGGATTGTGTGACGGAATTTGGTCCAAAAATATTTTTGTCTAAATATATTGAAATCGGTTCAGATTTGGATATTTTTATAAATTTGGATATTTATTATCAAACATAGACACCCATTTGGAGTCGATCAAACGATGTCCGTCCGTCTGTCTGGTTGGCTGGTGCGGACGATAATACTCGAAGGGAGTATTTGATTTAGTCCAAACTTGGCACATCGTAATATTTTTGTCAAACTTAGATCGATTTCGGAGATGGGCAATATCGGTCCACTCCTCCCCCACAAAAGGTCGAAATTTTCAAAAATATATATTTTTTGCACAGAAAGAGAAACGATAACCCGATTTTGTTCCAACTTTGCACATCCTAATATTTGCATCGGTGCTGGGTCAGGTGTGAAAATGGACAATATCGGTCCACTCCATCAAGTACCTCCCCCACAAATGGGCAAAATTTTGAATAATTACAACTCTCATAAAATGTGATGTAACAGTCCGATTGTCTTCAAATTTCACACATCCCAATATTTATATTAACCCAAGATCTGGTGTTAAGATGGGCAATATCGGTCCACTCCTTCTGGTACCTCCCCCACAATGGTCGAAATTTTCAAAAAATATATTTTTTGCACATAGAGTGAACGAATAATCCGATTTTGCTCCAACTTTGCACATCCTAATATTTGCGTCGGTGCTAGTTCAGGTGTGAAAATTGACAATATCGGCCCACTCCATCAAGTACCTCCTTCACAAATGGTCAAAATGTTGAATATCCATGAAGCTAATAAAAAGCGAAATTGACATCCGATTATATTCAAGACTTTAAAGTTTTCTTGGGGAGCTATCAAAAGGAATGCAACGATATTCTCCATATCGATCTTGATTTAAGGACTAATTGAACTAATTTCCCGAAATTGTTGCCGTTATGTATTTGCCCTGTGCAAATAGGCCGGCTGTGTGCAAATAGGCCGGCTTGGCTTAGTCGTTGATGGTCATCGCCCATCGATACTGACGGTTTGTTGGTTGGTTGTTAATACCAATCATCAGTAGGCTTAACGCATTAGGCATTTTCTACATGTTCTCCTTTTGTTAAAGACTCTTTTCGCGGAAAATTTGCAAAACACACACACATATGGACACATACAAATTATGTATGTCACTACCTCCATTTGGATATACCTCCATTTGGATATACGAACAAGTAAAGTTTCTCAATTCACAGCAACTTTATTCTTTTGAACGCAATTGCACCGCCATCGAGGATCGTATTTCTGTGGCATGCTATTATCTTCCTCATCATCATTGGCGTCGTTGTCGTCATCGATTCTCGTATTACGAAATCTGGTGGTATCTATTGGGTATGTGGTTCCCCTCCCAGTCACCCAGTCATCACTTCCATTGAAAAACAAATCCACTCTCCATTGGAAATCTGAGTTGTGGTTTCCTTTTGAGTGAGTTATCTTGGTTCTCTGTGCGAGGTGATCTTGAGGTGTGTCATTGTTGTGATGTGAGTGAGTGTGTCTGTGTGTAATTTTTGCGTTGTAACCCCTCGAGACCCCCATTACGGGGATGCCTGTCTGCATGTGAATAGCTGTGTGTTGTTTTCAATGGTAGAGGCATTTGTGAAGAGCTAAAATGAACACCTGCATTTCGAAGTTCCAGTTGAGGTTCCCCTTTTTAAGAAATTCCATTTGTTTCGGTGTTTTTTTTTTTTTTTTTTTTGTTATTGTGATAATGAAGAACCAACGTGGCCAGCGAAGTGGTTGGTTGGCTTCGCGTGTAATTAAAATTGTTGTTGGATGCTGTGGCGCATACAGTGGTCTGGAATGACGTTTCTATAATTTTTGGAGTTTTTGTATTATTGGAGGGCCCTTTGGGAAATTATTAGAGTATCGAATTGAAGAAAAAAAAAAGTAAGAAAAGGGTAAGGGTCGACTAAATGATATCCTACACCTATATGCATATTTAGTAGAGCTCCCGTAACAAAAGATTTTTTGAAGAAGATCATACAACCCATCAACATTTGGTTTCAGATGGAACTAATATAAAGGAGGCATATCCAATTCTGAATCGATTTTTACTAAATTTGACGGAGCTATTTGATATACCCTCTACCATACTATGGAGGGTATATTAAGTTTGTCATTCCGAAACGAATTGAGATAGAAGGTTAAAATTCTGCACACATGTTCATTTTTTCAGTAGGCTAAGTTCGTAAATGGGGCATGTCTTCGTATAGCCCACATATAATGGTACCTCCATATATTCGGAATTTTGATGATTTTAGCGACATTATTCAAAGGAATTGTTTCAAATTTGGTAATTGACGTTCGAATTAGATACTACAGCCTAAGACAGAAACTTGTCTGTGCAGGTCCACGTCTTCGTGTAACCCCCATTTAACAGAACCTCCCTATATTCGGTATTTTGATGATTTTTGCGACATTATTCATCGGAATTATTTCAAATTTGATATTTGAAGTTCCAAAGGTATAGTACAGCCTAAGACAGAAATATTACTGTACAAGTCCACGTCTTCGTATAGCCTCCATATAACGGTACATCCC